TCCTTGGGCGAAAATGTTTGTTATGGTCCATAGTACCAGAATCGCAAGGATATGAATCAACTTTTTTAATTGACCCACCCTAACGTGTATGTATTAATATTCCAGCATTATACTTTCATTGTCCAGTTTCTCTTAGAGTATTTTTGCAAACTATGCAATTCAATTGATAAAAGATTAAAATCCGTGCTTCACTAGAATTCCTCACTTAAATTTACAAATATGAGCATACATTTTTCCGCGTGGTATTTACAAAAAAAAAGATTTTTTTTTGTAAAACGTTTACGATGAGTAATGGGTAACTGTCAATTAATCTAAGTGTTTATATCTTTTGCTTTTACATGAACTGTATAACATAAAATAAACGAAAAGTAGAACTATGTATGTATGTGCGTATATAATATATGAAATGCGAAAAACTCTAAAAACTCCACAGGTGTGAGATAAGCCAACAGCACACAAGATGAAAATAAAAATATTGTGAAATATATGCTAAGAACATCGCACGCCTACGGAATATTTATTTACAGTCTTTTTCGATGTTACAAGATAAAAATAAAAGGAAAATACTTTGTAAAAGTGTGTTGTGCCAGGTATTTTTACTCCCTTATGACCTTAAGAAGTCACTATAGCAAGACTGTAATTTGAAATGTAGAAGACATCAATTAAAAAATTACGTGCCACAAACACTCACAAAAATTTTACAAATTGAATTATCATTTAACCAAACCGCCTTCAATAGTATTCTTGTCTCTTTAACCTGACTGCTCCTTTATCGCGCCAATTTTTTTCTTTATATATGTATGCATTAATTCGTATGTATGTATATAGACGGCGTATGCTAATGAAGGGGGGTAAATGAGTATGGACATAAATACACCTATGTATTGTACATATGTACACACATTACCAAGCTCATGTATTGTACAACTGCATGACTTTTTTTATTATTATTAAGGAAATGGAAACAGATATGCTCTGCGTTTGTTTCCGCTACTGCTGCACCTTTATAAACCTAACAAATTTTATTTGAAAGAAGTTAATTTCTTTACATCAATCTTCATCAAATGCATTGCGCGGCTTTGCTTTTTTGTCGCTACCATTTATTGTTTTGCTGTNATTCACACAATTCCTTAAGACGTCTGGAATATTGCCGACTATTGCCCGTCGTATCTCCGTTGCTGCCATTTCTCGCAACTCAGTTGCGGATGCATCGCTGAAGAAGGCTGCATGTGGTGTACATATAAGATTTGGAGCGTCTTTAAGGGCTCCCTGGAGGCGAAAAATTTGCGAAATATAAAAAAAAATTATAATAACAGAATAAGGGCCAATTTCATAATACAACACTTATAGCTCAATTTGCAAAAGTTTCATTTTAGTTAAAGTGTCATCAAATATACTTTAAACAAGAAGTGCTTCATAATACAATGGCAATTGAATAATAACAAACGGTTCATTTAAATGGAAATAAGTTGACAATGCTGATCTCGGCAAATTGCATCAGCTGATTGTCATATATATGTAATTATAACTACCAAAATTACATACTTTTTTTCATACAAACGCGACCCCCTTTTTGGGTATTTAAATATAGAGCCTCTTATGGGCACCTTTATCTATCTTTAAAGTGACTTTATGAAGTTGATCAGCAAAATAAAGCATCCTTTAAATTTTAAGATATTCTTAAATTTTTTTATGAAATCAGCACTAAGAAGTAGAAACAAAAACATAGAGTAATCTACAAGCTATTAGAGTTTTTTTACTATAGTTTAATTTTCGCCAATTTCGTTACCAAACTTTCTAGATCCTGCTTTAAATTGAAAGGAATTAACGCTTACTTGGAATACATTGTAGGGCTCGTTTTCGTGCACGTCTAAAGCTGCAGCTCTTATTCTGCCTTGTTTTAGAGCCAGAGCTAAAGTCTCGTCATCGACCAGTCCACCTCGTGCAGTGTTTACCAAAAATGCACCAGGTCGCATCTGTACAAATAGAAAGATGAAATTTTAATTATTATTGTTCCTAAAATTATTAAAAATTGCAAGAGGATATATTGAAATCAATGTTTAGAACTCTTTTTCATGCATATTACCTGTTTAATTGTGAATTCATTGATTA